GAAGCTGGAGAACCCCTCGACAACCCCGGAGAACCCTCCGAGAACCCGCGGAGAACCCGGAGAACCCCCGGAAAACCCCCGGAGAACCCCCGGAGACCGGGAACTCCCCGGAAAACCCCCGGAGAACCTGCAGAACCCCCGGACCCCGGAGAATTTGGAGAACTCCTGGAGAACCCCCGGAGAAACCGGAGAGCCCGTTAAGGCATTCGCGCGCCATTTCGATGACGCACCATACTTCAATGTGCCGCCCGACCCGACCCGCCCGCCAGGGTACTTGCGTGCCAATTGGATGATGCATCGTCCAACCCGACCCGCCCATTAGGGCATTCGCGTGCCATGTCGATGGGACATCGCACTTTAATGTCCCGCCCACCCGACCCGACCCGCCCGTTGGGGTACTCGCATGCCAACTCGGTGATGCATCGTACTAGAATGTCCCGCCCGCCCGACACGACCGACCCGTTAGGGTACTCCCGTGTCCCATCGATGACGCACCATTTTTTAATGTCCGGCCCGAACGACCCGACCCGCCCGTTGGGGTATTCTCGTGCCAATTCGACGACGCATCGTACTTCAATGTCCCGCCCGCCCGACCCGAGCCGCCCGTCAGGATTCTCGCGTCCCACACGATGCCGCTTCATACTTTAATGTCCCGCCCGCCCGACACGACCCGCCCGTTGGGGTACTCCCGTGCCAACTCTATATGATTCACCAGGCTTTAGAGTCCCGTCCGCCCAACCCGACTCGCGCGTTAAGGTACACTCGATGATGCTCCATACTATAATGTCCCGCACGCCCGACCCGACCTGCCTGTCAGGGTAAGTGCGTGCCAACACGATGATGCAAGCTACTTTAATGTCCCGCCCGTCCGACCCGAACGCCCATTAGGGTACTCGCGTGGCATCCCGATGGAGCATCCTACATTAATGTCCCGCCCGCCCGCCCGACCCGACCCGCCCGTTGAGGTTTTCGCGTGCAAACTCGATGATACATCACACTTTGATGTCCCGCCCGCCCGACCCGACCATCGACCAGACCCGCCCATTAGGGCACTCGCGTTCCCACTCGATGATGCACCATACTTTAATGTCCCGCCCGCCCGACCCGACCCGCCCGTTGGGGTACTCGCGTGCCAACTCGATGATGCATCGTACTAGAATGTCCCGCCCGCCCGACACGGCCGACCCGTTAGGGTTCTCCCGTGCCCTCTCGATGACGCACCATACTTTATTGTCCGGTCCGAACGACCCGACCCGCCCGTTGGGGTATTCGCGTGTCAATTCGACGACGCATCGTACTTTAATGTCCCGCCCGCCCAACCCGAGCCGCCCGTCAGGATACTCGCGTGCCCACAAGATGCCGCTTCATGCTTTAATGCCCCGCCCGCCCGACACGACCCGCCCGTTGGGGTACTCCCGTGCCAACTCTATGATGCACCATGCTTTAGAGTCCCGTCCGCCCAACCCGACCCGCGCGTTAAGGTACTCGTGTGCCAACTCGATGATGCTCCATACTTTAATGTCCCGCGCGCCCGACCCGACCCGCCTGTCAGGGTAAGTGCGTGCCAACACGATGATGCAAGCTACTTTAATGTCCCGCCCGTCCGACCCGACCCGCCCATTAGGGTACTCGCGTGGCATCCCGATGGAGCATCCTACATTAATGTCTACCCCGCCCGACCCGACCCGCCCGTTGAGGTTTTCGCCTGCCAATTCGATGATGCATCACACTTTGATGTCCCGCCCGCCCACCCCGACTCGCCCATTAGGGCACCCGGAGAACCCGGAAAACTCGAAAACTCGGAGAACCCGGAGAACCTCTGGAGAACCCGGAGAACGCCCGGAGAACCCGGAAAACCCATGGAGAACCCCCGGAAAACCCGGAGAACCCGGAGAACCCGCAGAACCCGGAGAACCCGGAGAACCTGGAGAACCCGGAGACGCCGGAGAACCCCCGGAGAACCCGGAGAACCCGGAGAACCCGGAGAACCCCCGGAGAACCCGGAGAACCCGGAGAACCCGGAGGACCCGGAGAACCCCCGGAGAACCCCCGGAGAACCCGGAGAACCCGGAGAACCCGGAGAACCCCCGGAGAACCCCCGGAGAACCCGGAGAACCCGGAGAACCCCCGGATAACCCGCGGAGAACCCGGAGAACCCCCGGAGAACCCGGAGAACCCGGAGAACCCTCCCGGAGAACCCGGAGAACCCGGAGAACCCGGAGAACCCAGAGAACCCCCGGAGAACCCCTGGAGAACCCGGAGAACCCGGAGAACCCTCCTGGAGAACCCGGAGAACCCCCGGAGAACCCCCGGAGAACCCAGAGAGATTGCAATGAACACCCGGAGGAGAAGAACCCCTGGAGAACCCGGAAAACCCCCGGAGAACCCGGAGAACCCGGAGAACCCGGAGAACCCGGAGAACCCGGAGAATCCGGAGAACCCGGAGAACCCGGAGAACCCCCAGAGAACTCTCAGAGGACCCGGAGAACCCCCGGAGAACCCCTGGAGAACCCGGAGAACCCCCGGAGCACCCGGAGAACCCGGAGAACCCTCCCGGAGAACCCGGAGAACCCGGAGATCCCCCGGAGAACCCGGAGAACCCGGAGAACCCAGAGAACCCTCCCGGAGAACACCCCCCGGAGAACCCGGAGAACCCCCGGAGAACCTGAAGAACCCTCCCGGAGAACCCGGAGAACCCGGAAAACCCCCGGAAAACCCCGAGAACCCCCAGAGAACCCAGAGAACCCGGAGAACCCGGAGAACCCGGAGAACCCCCAGAGAACTCTCAGAGGACCCGGAGAACCCCCGGAGAACCCGGAGAACCCGGAGAAACCCCGGAGAACCCGGAGAACCCCCAGAGAACCCGGAGAACCCGGAGAACCCTCCCGGAGAACCCGGAGAACCCCCGGAGAACCCGGAGAACCCGGAGAACCCCC